CACTCCTTTGCACTGCTTTTCTGTTGGACCTAAACATAGACAACTCATCACTTTGGTTGCTGCGTTTTATACAATAGGAATCTATATCTACCTTGGTGCAGGCAGTAGAAGTAACACAGATTTTAGGGAATACAGTGGGCAGATTTACTGGAACATATAACACCATGTTACTCATATCCTGACAGTTAGTTGGAAGTGAACTTTTTCGGCAATGATACAGGGATGATAACAGGTTCCACGATTACAGTTGATTAATAAAGTCATTTGGGTTATTTAATGAAAATGTAATTTTAAGTATAAAATATCAATTTTATTCAGAAAATTACATATTTTTCCTTATCATGACTCATGCTTATTGCTTGTAGAATCCGTCGGATTTGGTGGTGGGTCAAGCTACTTCTGGATTTCATGTAGTGATTTACGTCTTATATACCCCCCTATGGGAACTTCTTGTTGGCACTGCTATTTTACTGCTAGTCTCTGCTGCTGCTGTAACCCTGTACTTCCAACTGTCTCTGACCGGGGTGTGGGTGGCTGGGGGACCACAATTGTTAACTTTGGTCCTGGCTTGTTAACATTTTATGTGGATTTTGCGACTCCATCTCTTGATGCAAGCATCAAGTGGAGAAGCGAACCTTTCCTGTACGAGTATCCTTACAAGTACTGGGTCATATCACTTATGCTAGTCTGTCCTTAGACGTGCATATAGACTCTAAAGCTGAACTCTTCCGAGTGTAGGCTTTTGCAAGTCATGTGATAAAAGGGCGAGACTTCATCTCAACGCCTTTGAGGGACTGTCAACTGTTGTGCAACAACCAGCGGGCCGAAATGGTGAATGCCGGAGACGTCCTCGGTGGCGGTTGGTAATGGTTGGCAAACACCATGTCTGATTTCCAGAAGCAGCCCTCCATTATCGTCCTGATAGAGCAATTCCCATGTAGAGCGAGTGTTGACGCCAGAGCTCTAACTTCGTGTGGGTTGGAGGATCCAGTCCTGCTGCTTTGTAGGCCCGTAGTATGACAGTTCTGATCCAGATTGATATCGTAGTGCGGGAGACCTCCGTCTGTGTCGCTGTCAATTTCGGGACGAAAAGACGCTTAAATTTCCGTCTCCTGGTCCTGGATCTTTGTAGGTAGACTTTCAATGCTCTTACTGGACACAATGAAAGGTCCTGTGTATCCTGTGGTCGAAGGACTGATGATAGTGCTGGGACGTGGAATTGTCTGTCCAGTTGACCTGGCAGTTGATTCTTTGCTATGAAGTCCCATCTCAGTCCCATATGCACAGTGTTTTGATTTTCATCAAATTGTGTTCTCTCGAAGTCCAGAGCATGTATTTCCGACATCCTTGCTGCTGTTGCTAAGGCGATCAGGAACAGCGTCTTCTGCGTCAAGATCTCGAAGGATGTCCTCTCTAATGGTTTGTAGACGTCACTGGTGAGATGTCGTAGAACTACGTTGAGGTCCCACCCCCGGAGCTTTGAATCTCTGTTGTTGGTCCTCCAATTTAAAAGAGCGTAGTAAGGCCAGTAACTCTGGTACTTTCGTCAGTTTTGCACTCGTCCTCATGGTGATGACTGAGCTCAATGCCGCTAGGTATGTTGAGAGTGTTGACCCTTTTAACCGCTTCGTTTGTCGTAGGTAGTCCGCCACTTGAGGGTGTGTCGCCTTTATGGCTGTAAAGCCGGTCCTCGCAGCGTATGTCTTGAAACTTTGCCACTTGTCGTCGTACAAGGTGCGTGTAGACTTGCGTAAAGCTAGTGTGACTGCTTTCGCTGCTCTGGCGGAATATCCTCTCTTGTTTAAGTACGCCTTGATACAGTCCACACGTGTAGCCGGAACACCTCTGGGTTGCCGTGCGCCTGCTTTGTGTGAGGATGTACTAGTAGATTCGTCCACTCTGGTAGTTGCAGTTGAGGTTGTCCTAATTCTTGTATGAGAATGGGGAACCATATTCTCGCTGGCCAGTAAGGCGCGACCAAAATCAGTTGTAGGTCCTTCGTCTGGCTGATTTTCTGCAACACCCTCGGTATTAGAGCTGGTGGTGGAAACGCGTAAGCGTTTAGTCCTTCCCAGCAGATGCTTAGAGCGTCCGTTGCCCATGCTCGAGGATCTGGTATTGGTGAGACGAATGTTATCAGTTGATTGTTGAATCTTGTGGCGAAGAGGTCTGTTAGTGGTGCTCCCATCTCTTGTATGATCTTCTTGAAGATCTCTGGATGTAGCATCCATTCTGTTGGGGATGGCTGCGTTGGACGGGATAGTGCGTCTGCTATCACATTCTTGGCTCCTGGAATGTGGCATGCTCTTATGTGGATGTTCAGGTTGTCTGTTATGCTGAACAGTTGAAAGCAGAGGTCCAGGAGGTTCGCCGACCTTGTTGATCCTTGCCTGTTTATGTAGAACGCCACTGTGGAGTTGTCCGTATGCACCATCAGATGAGCATTCTCCAGAATGTTTGTCCCGTGGAGTATGGCGTTTAGTACTGCTTTCATTTCCAGCATGTTGATGTGCAGATCTTTCTCCTCTTTGGTCCATGTCCCAGCTGACACTTCGTCGTCGAGATGTGCTCCCAAACCTTGGAGCGATGCGTCCACGTAGAGATGCGTCTTGCACTCCGGCTCTGCTAAATAGGTGCCTCCGCAAACATTCGATCTCTGGGTCCACCATAGTAGATATGGGCGTAGTGCGTCCGGGAGTCCGAAGGGTTCTGGGTCGTCCAGATGAGTATTGACGAAGACCTGTAGTGGGCGTAGTTGTAGTCTCCCTCTGGCTGTCATGTCTTGCGCTGACGTGAGGTGACCCAACAGACTCTGCCATTGTCGTAGTGGCCACGGAGAGAGTAGAGTTTGCGAGATCGTCTGTTGTATCTTGAGCCATCGGTCCTCTGGTACCACTATGCAGTTCTGTGTTGTGATGAACCGGATTCCTAGGAACTGCATGTCCTGTGTAGGTTCTAGGTCCGACTTGAGGAGATTCACTAGCCACCCCAGTTGTGTAAGCAGTCTGATGGTGAAGTCCAGTTGTAGTCTGAGATGCTTTGGATCTTGATGTACTTGAATCCCGTCGTCTAGGTAGAATGCACTGCGTAGACCTCAATGATGTAGGTATGTGACTATGGGCTTCGTCACCCTTGTAAACAACCAGGGGGGCCGATGATATTCCAAATGGCAGGACCTTCCATTTGTAGTGTCGTCCGTCCAGTATAAACTTCAGGTACTTCTTTGAGTCCAGATGTACAGGAATATGCAGGTAGGCATCCTGTAGATCTATGCTGGCCATGTAGTCCATCAGACGGACGAGGTGTAGGTGTTGTGGTAGATGTATCATGCTGAACTTTGGTGGTCTGCACAGATAATCTCTGTTGAAGGCCCTCATGTTGTAGATGAGTCTGAACATTTCTTTGGAGTTTTTCTTTGGCACTAGGAAAACTGGGGAGTAGAATCCTGGTGAGAGCTGGTCCTGGTCCACCACTTCTATGGCTTCCTTCTCTAGTAGAGATGTGACCGCTTCTCGTAGCCTCTCTGTCCGATGGGTCGTGAAGTTGAACTTCTGAGGTTCGTCTGTCAACGGCGGAGTTGCTTGTAGTTGTATGCGATATCCGTCTCTTAGGATGCTGGATACAAATGGATCTTGAAGAATTCCCCAGTTCTCCCAGTAGTTTTGTAGACGTCCACCCACTTGTGAAGGTTGTACAGGAACGGCTGGGGGTGGAAGACTCCAGTCCTTCCGAACCCCTCCTTCATCGTCTCTGATCCTTGCCGCCTCTGGGTGCCCTGCCTCGTCCGGGTCGTCCTCTATAGTTGCCGGCTGGGCGACGAAAAGAGTCCTTCCCTCCTCTGAAGGTGCTCATTCACTTGTCTCTTGCCTTCTGGATGCCTGCGAACTTCGACTTGCCCGAGTAGCGCTGGGACGTCTGCCTGATGACACTGGCTAGTGTATCGATGGACTTTATCATGAGGACTTCTCTGGAGTCTTTGGTAACTTCTTTGGCGACGTCGTCAATCTCCCCTGTGAAGATGGATGATGTCGACCATGGGGCTCTGTACAGCGACTTCGCGAAGCGTTCGCTCCAGTTGCAGGATGCCAGTAGTCCTTGTCTTCTCGCCAACATCAACGCTGCTGAGATGGATGATAGATGGTCCCTCATAAACTGCTGGTCCTTCTTCTGCGTGAGTAGAGCAGAGTAGATCATCCGGTCCTCCTCTGCGGGAGAGTCCTTGAACTTGGCGATGAGCGTCTCATTCACTGCCCTGGATCTGTTCAGGCCGAAGAACATCCTTCTGGACATCGTCTCTATCTGCGCCAGCTTTTTTGTCGTCAATCTTATAAGACTTGGTCCGGGCGTTGTTGATGACCTTGTAGTTATCATCGATCTCTTGTGCCTTCATGAAGGGGTCCATATTGTGTAGAGAGAACTTCTTAGCGTTGAACTGTGGAATATTCGGTGCCTGGGATTTCGTTGCCTTCCTGAAGGCTGCGTCCAAGTTCTCTGGAACTTCCGAGATGGGATCAATTGGCGGTAGAGTGATTGTGTCGACATCATCGTCCTTCATCAGGTACGTGAGTGCTGCATTCTCTTCCTTAGAGGGTGACGCTAACTCCGTTGGCCATCCAATATCTTATCTCTGCGTCCGAGAAGATAATATCGCCATTGTCCTGTTTCAGGGGCGCTGACCTGAGATCGTTTATCATCCTCCGCTGGGGATCTGTGAGGAGACCTGCGTGGAGACCTGCGTGGAGACCTGCGTGGAGACCTGCGCGGCGATCTGCGTGGAGATGAGCCTGTAGAGGAGCGTCTGTAGGGCGATCTGCGTGGAGACCTGCGTGGAGGCGAGCGTCTCTTGGTTCGTGAATGCCTCGGCGAATCCCTTGACGATTTGTGAGGTGACCTTAAGTGCACAGAAAAGCCTTAAGTGCACAATGGACCTTTTTATAAAAAAGGCACAGCAAAAAGAAGATGCATTTCATTTCCTACCAGTCCCCTGGGTTCCTTGGGGCTGGATGAAGCTCTCCTGGGCAGCTGGCAGAACCTCAGAGGTGCACATTGACTCTCCGCCTTGACGTGCCAAGGAAGCGGCCCAGCTTGGTTCAAATGGGAGAGAGAGTGAATGAAATTTTCAGTCTTGAGGGTGTTTGAGATGGTCAAACGTATCGGGAGGGACCTCTGCACCAGCCAGAAACAGCCAAGAGGGTGCAGCGAGGGTCCAAGACATCATTGTGCATTTTTAAGGCTTTTCTGTGAACTTAAGGACACCTATAGCTGACCTTAAGTGCACAGAAAAGTCTTAAGTGCACAATGGACCTTTTACAAAAAGACACATCAAAAACAACATGCATTTCATTTCCTACCAGTCCCCTGGGGTGCTTGGGGCTGGATGAAGCTCTCCTGGGAAGCTGGCAGAACCTCGGAGGTGCACACTGACTCTCCGCCTTGACGCGCCGAGGAAGAGGCACAGCATGGCTGAAATGGGAGAGAGTGAATGAAATTTTCAGTTTGGAGGAGGTTTGACATGGTCAAAGGTATCGGGATGGGCCCATGAACAAGCCGAGTCAGACAAGAGGCTACAGGGAGGGGCTAAGACATCATTGTGCATTTAAGGCTATTCTGTGAACTTAAGGACAGTTATAGCTGACCTTAAGTGCACAGAAAAGCCTTAAGTGTACAATGCACCTTTTTAAAAAAAGGCACAGCAAAAAGAAGATTCATTACACTTCCTGCCAGTCCCCTGGGGTGCTTGGGGCTGGATGAAGCTCTCCTGGGAAGCGGGGCCATGAACAAGCCAGAAGGAGACAAGAGGGTGCAGGGAGGGGCTAAGACATCATTGTGCATTTAAGGCTATTCTGTGCACATAAGGACAGCTATAGCTGACCTTAAGTGCACAGAAAAGCCTTTAGTGTACAATGGACCTTTTTAAAAAAGGCACAGCAAAAAGAAGATGCATTTCATTTCCTGCCAGTCACCTGGGGTTGCTTGGGGCTGAATGAAGCTCTCCTGGGCAGCTGGCAGAACCTCGGAGGTGCACACTGACTCTCCGCCTTGACGCGCCAAGGAAGTGGCCCAGCTTGGCTCAAATGCAAGAGAGAGTGAATGAAATTTTCAATCTTGTGGGTGTTGGAGATGGTCAAACGTATCGGGAGGGACCTCTGCACCAGTCAAAAAACACCAAGAGGGTGCAGGGAGGGTCCAAGACATCATTGTGCATTTAAGGCTTTTGTGTGCACTTAGGGACAGCTATAGCTGACCTTAAGTGCACAGAAAAGCCTTAAGTGCACAATGGACCTTTTCCAAAAAGGCACAGCAAAAAGAAGATGCATTTCATTTCCTACCAGTCCCCTGGGGTGCTTGGGGCTGGATGAAGCTCTCCTGGGAAGCTGGCAGAACCTCAGAGGTGCACACTGACTCTCTGCCCCGACGCGCCGAGGAAGCGGCCCAGCTTGGCTGAAATGGGAGAGAGAGTGAATGAAATTTTCCGACAGGAGCGTGTTGGAGATGGTCAAACGTATCGGGAGGGACCTCTGCACCAGCTAGAAACAGCCAAGAGGGTGCAGGGAGGGGCCAAGACATCATTGTGCATTTAAGTCTTTTCTGTGAACTTAAGGACAGCTATAGCTGACCTTAAGTGCACCCAAAAGCCTTAAGTGCACAATGGACCTTTTTAAAAAAGGCACAGCAAAAAGAAGATGCATTTCATTTCCTACCAGTCCCCTGGGGTGCTTGGGGGTGGATGAAGCTCTCCTGTACAGGTGGCAGAACCTTGGAGGTGCACACTGACTCTCCGCCTTGACGTGCCGAGGAAGCGGCCCAGCTTGGCTCAAATGGAAGAGAGAGCGAATGAAATTTTCAGTCTTGTGGGTGTTTGAGATGGTCAAACGTATCGGGAGGGACCTCTGCACCAGGTAGAAACAGCCAAGAGGGTGCAGGGAGGGGCCAAGACATCATTGTGCATTTAAGTCTTTTCTGTGAACTTAAGGACAGCTATAGCTACCTTAAGTGCACCCAAAAAGCCTTAAAGGTCACATAAACCCTAGGGGGTAAAAATACATAAATCACTAACTGGCATCGTTATAAATGAAACCCAGTCATTAAAACTACTCATTTCGACCTTTAATTGACTTAAATCGACCTTTTTGACAACAGTGCACAATTCTCACCCGCGAACGAAATTTCAACCAATCAGAGCGGCGCGACTCTGTGACGTCATATGAGGAATAGCTTTGAAGGCCGATGCAGAATTCATCTACATTTTAGGGGGTAAATTATCTTGTTTACAGGCTTGTATAAACCTGAAATCGTGACAATTGTTGTGGAAAATGAAAGCTATATGTTCTCACAATCTACTGTCATTTAATTTTGTCTCCTGCTTTGCCTAGTTTCCGAGTTACAACTTGTTTTCATAGACGCTTCTGTCACAATTGATTGGTGTCGTTAGGCCCTATTTGTATAATGACTGATCCAAATTGATCCCATTTCTGTGTTTTTTACCTCGATATTTAATCATGTCATGTAAAAATCTGTTTGTATTCTCAAAACAGTGTCGGCCCATAAGTTTTCACATGCAATACAGCAATTAATACTCCCTTGTTGTAACCCGTGTTAGGTGGTATAAACCTACACATGTTATTTGTCATCATTCACTTGATGGTCAGTTAATAAATTTATAACAGGTATAATTAGTGGTAACACACTTAGATTACCCGACAAAGGTTCCCATTTGGCATTTCTTGTGTCTGGAGTAAATATTCAACATTATAAACATCGATCAAAGGATTAACCGATAACACGCTGATTGATTAATTACTTTTATCTTACACAGCCAGAATTGTCAAAGGTAGTGTTTATGTATGTAGATTTACTAATCTATACTGAATACACTCTGCCGTGTCGGTGTCTGCGTAAAAACAACGTCCTTCTTTCAAAGGATTAACCGGCAATACATTGATTGATTGCCCATTATTGGCTAACTAAATTACTGTTTTTAATGAAAGGCGGACATTATGCAATTAGTTGCCAGGTGTGCTATCTTGGGTGACCAATGAGACTATACACCAATACCTGAAAAGATTTATCACTTTTTCGTATATTAAACTGTTAAAGACACATCATTTGGAACAGTTTGTGGATATTGACGGATACATTCCTCAAACAAGGTAATGGCCTGATATTGTTCCTATAACTTAAATCTGTTTTAATTTTAATATTTGCATTTTGTTTTTATTCATTTGTCGTAGCATTCAACAGAATCATTGTTTTCGCCGTGAAGTGTAATAAGGAGACAGACAATATACACTAGGGTGTGTGTGCGAATTATGATTCACATTGGCAAACTATAAAAAATGTCTAGATATTACAGTTCTGTTATAAATTCACTATAAGTATCAGCAGATCGTCAGCTTTTATTTAGTTTCAAAATGCATAAAAGTATGATAATAAACTAATTAGGATTATAAGACCAAATATAAAGACGCACATTGACTAGTATCTACATACTGGTGAGTGGACATTAACCATGTGAATGTAGCAAGAAATTTATCGCGCAGTATTGTAACTTCGACCCCCACCTCGCTTCCGTGGAAGAAATCGTTATGTTATAAGTTGTGTCATGCAAAATCCTTTTTGGTTATGATTCCAATACATATTTAACTACGAGTAGAAAGTAGTTTTGATTTTCTAACTTGATGAAAACAAACTATAATCTCATTAATTCTAACAGACTTTACGATTTTCAAAATGGCGGCCCTATCGGGAACATCCGCCAGTCTGTGGATAAATGCTATTTAGGTTTGTTTTCACCGATCCCTAAAATCAAAACTACTTCTACTGGTAGTAAAAAATATGTATTTTATTGATGGCCAATGGGATTTTGCATGACTACTTACTAATAACATAACAATTTCTCTCCTGGCAGCGAAGGTGGGTATCAATATAATACTACTTACAATATTATTGTTACTTCGACCACAACCTCGCTTCCGAGGAAGAAATCGTTATGTTACAAGTTGTGTTATGGAAAATCTTTATGGTCATCAATCATATACATATTTTACTATAACTAGTAAGTAGTTTTGATTCTTTACCTTCCGTGAAGCGATCTGAACACAAGTAAGATATCGTTTCAGGCTTCCACAACGCTTCGCTTCGCACTCACAAACATAACCCATTTAGCACGAACTTCTGCGGGGTCCTGTGGAAATCTGTGCATGGTGACACCATCACCCGACCCCTAGGGGCAATTGACGACAAAGCAACGATTCGGCATGTTGGCGTTGATGTCGAGAAATCATCAAAATGATGAGCGTGCTACACACTTTCTATACAACTAACTGAAAATCGTTCCTCATATGACGTCACTGCAGTGCTCTGGCGACAGAGTTACGTAACCTGTCTGTGGTTTCGTTGGCGGGCGAGAGGGAAGCAGGCGACCTTTTGGCCACTTTTAATCGCTCGGTATTAATTAACCACAAGTTTTTAAAGAATAAATTTGGTGTTCCGCATAAGACTAACCACAAATCTTTCATATGTAATGGTTAAAAGAGTAACAAAAAACAAAGTTTAGTGGTTCTTTAAGTGCACAATGGACCTTTTTAGAAAAGGCACAGCAAAAAGAAGATGCATTTCATTTCCTACCAGCCTCCTGGGGTGCTTGGGGCTGGATGAAGCTCTCCAGGGAAGCTGGCAGAACCTCGGTGGTGCACACTGACTCTCCGCCTTGACGTGCCGAGGAAGCGGCCGAGGAAGTGGCCCAGCTTGGCTGAAATGGGAGAGAGAGGGTGAATGAAATTTTCAGTCTGGAGGGTAAGTGCACAATGCACCTTTTCAAAAAAAGGAGATGGTCAAACGTATCTGGGGTGCTTGGGGAGGGAAGCCTCTGCACCAGCCATGAAACAGCCCAAGAGGGTGCAGGGAGGGGCCAAGACATCATTGTGCATTTAAGGCATTTTTCTGTGCACTTAAGGACAGCTATAGCTGACCTTAAGTGCACAGAAAAGCCTTAAGTGCACAATGGACCTTTTTAAAAAAGGCACAGCAAAAAGAAGATGCATTTCATTTCCTGCCAGTCCCCTGGGGTGCTTGGGGCTGGATGAAGCTCTCCTGGGAAGCTGGCAGAACCTCGGAGGTGCACACTGACTCTCCGCCTTGACGTGCCGAGGAAGCGGCCCAGCTTGGCTGAAATGGGAGAGAGAGTGAATGAAATTTTTCCAGACTGGAGGGTGTTGGAGATGGTCAAACGTATCGGGAGGGACCTCTGCACCAGGTAGAAACAGCCAAGAGGGTGCAGGGAGGGGCCAAGACATCATTGTGCATTTAAGGCTATTCTGTGAACTTAAGGACAGCTATAGCTGACCTTAAGTGCACAGAAAAGCCTTAAGTGTACAATGGACCCTTTTAAAAAAAAGGCACAGCAAAAAGAAGATGCATTTCATTTCCTACCAGTCCCCTGGGGTGCTTGGGGCTGGATGAAGCTCTCCTGGGCAGCTGGCAGAACCTCGGAGGTGCACACTGACTCTCCGCCTTGACGCGCCGAGGAAGCGGCCCAGCTTGGCTGAAATGGGAGAGAGAGTGAATGAAATTTTCCGACAGGAGCGTGTTGGAGATGGTCAAACGTATCGGGAGGGACCTCTGCACCAGGTAGAAACAGCCAAGAGGGTGCAGGGAGGGGGCCCAAGACATCATTGTGCATTTTAAGGCTTTTCTGTGATCAGGAGGCTATGGCTGACCTTAAGGACAGCTATAGCTGACCTTAAGTGCACCAAAAGCCTTAAGTGCACAATGGACCTTTTAAAAAGGCACAGCAAAAAGAAGATGCATTTCATTTCCTACCAGTCCCTGGGGTGCTTGGGGCTGGATGAAGCTCTCCTGGGCAGCTGGCAGAACCTCGGAGGTGCACACTGACTCTCCGCCTTGACGCGCCGAGGAAGCGGCCCAGCTTGGCTGAAATGGAAGGAGAGAGTGAATGAAATTTTTCAGTCTGGAGGGGGTTGGACATGGTCAAAGGTACCGGGAGGGTCCTCTGCACCAGTCAAAAACAGCCAAGAGGGTGCAGGGAGGGGCCAAGACATCATTGTGCATTTAAGGCTTTTCTGTGCACTTAAGGACAGCTATAGCTGACCTTAAGTGCACAGAAAAGCCTTAAGTGCACAATGGACCTTTTTAAAAAAGGCACAGCAAAAAGAAGATGCATTTCATTTCCTACCAGTCCCCTGGGGTGCTTGGGGCTGGATGAAGCTCTCCTGGGCAGCTGGCAGAACCTCGGAGGTGCACACTGACTCTCCGCCTTGACGCGCCGAGGAAGTGGCCCAGCTTGGCTGAAATGGAAGATTGAGTGAATGAAATTTTCAGTCCTGTGGTAGTTTGAGATAGTCAAACGTATCGGGAGGGACCTCTGCACCAGTCAAAACAGCCAAGAGGGTGCAGGGAGGGTCCAAGACATCATTGTGCATTTAAGGCTTTTCTGTGCACTTAAGGACAGCTATAGCTGACCTTAAGTGCACAGAAAAGCCTTAAGTGCACAATGGACCTTTTTAAAAAAGGCACAGCAAAAAGAAGATGCATTTCATTTCCTACCAGTCCCTGGGGTGCTTGGGGCTGGATGAAGCTCTCCTGGGCAGCTGGCAGAACCTCGGAGGTGCACACTGACTCTCCGCCTTGACGTGCCGAGGAAGCGGCCCAGCTTGGCTGAAATGGGAGAGAGAGTGAATGAAATTTTCGTCAGGAGGGTTGTGGAGATGGTCAAACGTATCGGGAGGGACCTCTGCACCAGGCAGAAACAGCCAAGAGGGTGCAGGGAGGGTCCAAGACATCATTGTGCATTTAAGGCTTTTATGTGAACTTAAGGACAGCTATAGCTGACCTTAAGTGCACAGAAAAGCCTTAAGTGTACAATGGACCTTTTCAAAAAAGGCACAGCAAAAAGAAGATGCATTTCACTTCCTACCAGTCCCCTGGGGTGCTTGAAGCTGGATGAAGCTCTCCTGGGCAGCTGGCAGAACCTCGGAGGTGCACACTGACTCTCCGCCTTGACGTGCCGAGGAAGCGGCCCAGCTTAGCTGAAATGGGAGAGAGAGTGAATGAAATTTTCCGACAGGAGCGTGTTGGAGATGGTCAAACGTATCGGGAGGGACCTCTGCACCAGGTAGAAACAGCCAAGAGGGTGCAGGGAGGGGCCAAGACATCATTGTGCATTTAAGGCTTTTCTGTGAACTTAAGGACAGCTATAGCTGACCTTAAGTGCACCCAAAAGCCTTAAGTGCACAATGGACCTTTTCAAAAAAGGCACAGCAAAAAGAAGATGCATTTCATTTCCTACCAGTCCCCTGGGGTGCTTGGGGCTGGATGAAGCTCTCCTGGGCAGCTGGCAGAACCTCGGAGGTGCACACTGACTCTCCGCCTTGACGCGCCGAGGAAGCGGCCCAGCTTGGCTGAAATGGGAAGGAGAGAGTGAATGAATTTTTCAGTCTGTAGGAGGTTGGACATGGTCAAAGCTACCGGGAGGGTCCTCTGCACCAGTCAAATAACAAGCGAGAGGGTGCAGGGAGGGGCCAAGACATCATTGTGCATTTAAGGCTTTCTGTGCACTTAAGGACAGCTATAGCTGACCTTAAGTGCACAGAAAAGCCTTAAGTGCACAATGGACCTTTTTAAAAAAGGCACAGCAAAAAGAAGATGCATTTCATTTCCTACCAGTCCCCTGGGGTGCTTGGGGCTGGATGAAGCTCTCCTGGGAAGCTGGCAGAACCTCGGAGGTGCACACTGACTCTCCGCCTTGACGTGCCGAGGAAGTGGCCCAGCTTGGCTGAAATGGGAGAGAGAGTGAATGAAATTTTCAGTCTGGAGGGTGTTGGAGATGGTCAAAGGTATCGGGAGGGGCCTCTGCACCAGCCAAAACAGCCAAGAGGGTGCAGGGAGGGGCCAAGACATCATTGTGCATTTAAGGCTTTTCTGTGCACTTAAGGACAGCTATAGCTGACCTTAAGTGCACAGAAAGGCCTAAGTGCACAATGGACCTTTTTAAAAAAGGCACAGCAAAAAGAAGATGCATTTCATTTCCTACCAGTCCCCTGGGGTGCTTGGGGCTGGATGAAGCTCTCCTGGGAAGCTGGCAGAACCTCGGAGGTGCACACTGACTCTCCGCCTTGACGCGCCGAGGAAGCGGCCCAGCTTGGCTGAAATGGGAGAGAGAGAGTGAATGAAATTTTCAGTCAGGAAGGGGTTGGACATGGTCAAAGGTATCAGGAGGGGCCTCTGCACCAGCCAAAACACCCAAGAGGGTGCAGGGAGGGGCCAAGACATCATTGTGCATTTAAGGCTTTTCTGTGCACTTAAGGACAGCTATAGCTGACGTTAAGTGCACAGAAAAGCCTTAAGTGCACAATGGACCTTTTAAAAAAAGGCACAGCAAAAAGAAGATGCATTTCATTTCCTACCAGTCCCCTGGGGTGCTTGGGGCTGGATGAAGCTCTCCTGGGCAGCTGGCAGAACCTCGGAGGTGCACACTGACTCTCCGCCTTGACGTGCCGAAGAAGCTGCCCAGTTTGGCTGAAATGACAGAGAGAGTGAATTAAATTTTCAGTCTGGAGGTTGGTTTTACATGGTTAAAGGTATCAGGGTCAAAGGGGTGATGGAAATGCCATGAAAATATTTTCAAATTAATTACTTTAGAGGGAAGTTAAGTTGAAAATAATTGAAAGTGATATAACAGCGCCTTGTTTGCGTCCGTTAAAGAATACAAACGGCTGTGGGTTGTGAGGCCGATACGTTTATTTCTGGTCTATTTATTAAACAGCCTGAAAGAACATATAAGAAAGTATATTAAATGGAATCACATGAATATGTACATGTTCAAATCACTCATTAAGTATATAAGATACACCTAGTTAAATACATCTGAACTATGTCACAAGTTATAATGTTACATAATATTAATACAAATATACAACGATCATAAAGACATGCTGTAGGTATCTTTAGAAAATATTATAGTAAATACATTTCTGGTATATAGGGAATCTGGTCAAGTATTACATACCAGGCTGGTTGTACCCAAGCTGATCATAATGGAGGATATTCTTCTAAATGATCACACTCACAGATCTGCATAACAAATACGTATGTATGCAGAGAACAATATATATACAAGTGATATGATATAAAATAATGTTTAAAAGTACAATTGCATTCGCCACACAAATAAAACATGAAATCACATGTAATATTACATATATGTGTCAATCAATCACACATATCAAACATACGGGCATGCATTCAAGCGGACTAGTAATTACTTTTATAAGTTGTCTGATATTTAGTTGATATACGTTTAGGATTGCGTTCAATACATAAACAATACATATACTTACAATAACACAGTGATCTGATAGTTCATCTTCAACTATACATATTTATAAGATATATTATATTTCAAGTAAACCAAGTCTGACTTACATGCCACAATACAATATATTTCTAATTATAGTAAACAAGAAACTGTCCATATATACAACATTTTATACAATATAAACCAAACTCATAAAATTCCCATGACTCTGGCTATATCTTTCCTTCAACAGTACAAGACGGCATCTGAGTTTAAAATCTGAACATTGTAGTTAAGCTGTGGCCAGCTTGGCCTATCAGTAAAACAATAGAAATGACCGAGAGCTGGAGCAAAGAGTGTTGAAAGCATGCAGTGTGACAATTAGTGGAGGTTAGACTGAGAGTTACAAGGCTTACTATGCAGAGCTATGGACTAAGAGTAAAATAAAGTATAAAACATAACTAAGATTCTTACAGGTGTTCTTATTGTTTAATAGAGTAAGTCATTAAGTGGAAACAGTGCCATCCGCCTTGATACTTAATATAATCTTCCTAATTAAAAACTATGTACATATATATATATATATATTTGGAGTCTGCCACAGTGATTTTAACTGCCAATCAGTAAACTCTTAAGAATCCCTTCAAATGGTAAATTCACTAGTTTCTGGTGTGAAGGTGCAGATAAATATATTAAGGATAAAAAAGAAACACCATGTCAACACCTCAGCCAGTTTATTGTCTGGCAAAGTATGTCCATCCAAAGATACCATACTGCCAGGGTCTAACCTCCACTAATTGTCACACTGCATGCTTTCAACACTCTTTGCTCCCGCTCTCTGTCATTTCTATTGTTTTACTGATAGGCCGAGCTGGCCACAGCTTAACTACAATGTTCAGATTTTTAAACTCAGATGCCGTCTTGTACTGTTGAAGGAAAGATATAGCCAGAGCCATGGGAATTTTATGACGATTATGAGTTTGGTTTATATTGTATAAAATGTTGTATATATGGACAGTTTCTTGTTTTACTATAATTAGAAATACAATGTATTGTCGCATGTAAGCCAGACTTGGTTTTACTTGAAATATAATATATCTTATAAATATGTATAGTTGAAGATGAACTATCAGATCACCGTGTTATTGTAAGTATATGTATTGTTTATGTATTGAACGCAATCCTAAACGTATATCAACTATATATCTGACAACTTATAAAAGTAATTACTAGTCCGCTTGAATGCATGCCCCTATGTTTGATATGTGTGATTGATTGACACATATATGTAATATTACATGTGAGTTCATGTTTTATTTGTGTGGCGAATGCAATTGTACTTTTAAACATTATTTTTATATCATATCACTTGTATATATATTGTTCTCTGCATACATACGTATTTGTTATGCAGATCTGTGAGTGTGATCATTCAGAAGAATATCCTCCATTATGATCAGCTGGGGTACAACCAGCCTGGTATGTAATACATGACCAGATTCCCTATATACCACAAATGTATTTACTATAATATTTTCTAATGATACCTACAGCATGTCTTTGTGATCGTAGTATATTTGTATTAATATTATGTAACATTATAACTTATGACACAGTTCAGATGTATTTAACTAGGTGTATCTTATATACTTAATGAGTGATTTGAACATGTACATATTCATGTGATTCCATTTAATATACTTTCTTATATGTTCTTTCAGGCTGTTTAATAGATAGACCAGAAATAAACGAATCGGCCTCACAACCCACAGCCGTTTGTATTCTTTAACGGACGCAAACAAGGCGCTGTTATATCACTTTCAATTATTTTCAACTTAACTTCCTTCTAAGTAATTAATTTGAAATCATTCTCATGGCATTTTCATAAACCCTTTGACCCTCCTGATACCTTTGACCATTTCCAACCCCTTCCAGACTGAAAATTTCATTCACTCTCGCACCCATTTCAGTCAAGCTGGGCTGCTTCCTCGACGCAACAAGGCGGAGAGTCAGTGTGCACCTCCGAGGTTGTGCCAGCTGCCCAGGAGAGCTTCATCCAGCCCCAAGCTCCCCAGGGGACTGGTAGGAAATGAAATGCATCTTCTTTTTGCAGTGCCTTTTTTGAAAAGGTCCATTGTGCACTTAAGGCTTTTGGGTGCACTTAAGGTCAGCTATAACTGTCCTTAAGTTCACAGAGGAGCCTTAAATGCACAATGATGACTTAGCCCCTCCCTGCACCCTCTTGGGTGACTTTGGCTGGTGCAGAGGACCCTCCCGGTAGCTTTGACCATGTCCAAACCCCTCCAGACTGAAAAATTCATTCACTCTCTCTCCCATTTCAGCCAAGCTGGGCCGCTTCCTCGGCGCGTCGGGGCAGAGAGTCAGTGTGCACCTCCGACGTTCTGCCAGCTTCCCAGGAGAGCTTCATCCAGCCCCAAGCACCCCAGGGGACTGGTAGGAAATGAAATGCATCTTCTTTTTGCTGTGCCTTTTTTAAAAAGGTCCATTGTGCACTTAAAGTCTTTTCTGTACATTTAACGTCAGCTATAGCTGTCCTTAAGTGCACAGAAGAGCCTTAAATACACAATGATGTCTTGGCCCCTCCCTGCACCCTCTTGGCTGTTTTTGGCTGGTGCAGAGGCCCCTCCTGATACCTTTGACCATGTACAACCCCCTCCAGACTGAAAATTTCATTCACTCTCTCTCCCATTTCAGCCAAGCTGGGCCGCTTCCTCGGCGCGTCAAGGGGGAGAGTCAGTGTGCACCTCCGAGGTTCTGCCAGCTGCCCAGGAGAGCTTCATCCAGCCCCAAGCACCCCAGGGGACTGGTAGGAAATGAAATGCATCTTTCTTTTTGCTGTGCCTTTTTTAAAAAGGTCCATTGTGCACTTAAGTCTTTTCTGTGCATTTAACGTCAGCTATAGCTGTCCTTAAGTGCACAGAAAAGCCTTAAATGCACAATGATGTCTTGGCCCCTCCCTGCACCCTCTTGGCTGTTTTGGCTGGTTTTGGCTGGTGCAGAGGACCCTCCTGATACCCTTTGACCATCTCCAACCCGCTGCAGACGGAAAATTTCATTCACTCTCTCTCCCATTTCAGCCAAGCTGGGCCGCTTCCTCGGCGCGTCAAGGCGGAGAGTCAGTGTGCACCTCCGAGGTTCTGCCAGCTGCCCAGGAGAGCTTCATCCAGCCCCAAGCACCCCAGGGGACTGGTAGGAAATGAAATGCATCTTCTTTTTGATGTGCCTTTTTTTAAAAGTCAGCTATAGCTGTCCTTAAGTGCACAGAAAAGCCTTAAATGCACAATGATGTCTTGGTCCCTCCCTGCACCCTCTTGGCTGTTTTTGGCTGGTGCAGAGGCCCCTCCTGATACCTTTGACCATGTACAACCCCTCCAGACTGAAAATTTCTAATTCACTCTCTCCCATTTCAGCCAAGCTGGGCCGCTTCCTCGGCGCGTCAAGGGGAGAGTCAGTGTGCACCTCCGAGGTTCTGCCAGCTGTCCAGGAGAGCTTCATCCAGCCCCAAGCACCCCAGGGGACTAGTAGGAAATGAAATGCATCTTCTTTTTGATGTGCCTTTGTTTTAAAAGTCAGCTATAGCTGTCCTTAAGTGCACAGAAAAGCCTTAAATGCACAATGATCTCTTGGCCCCTCCCTGCACCCTCTTGGGTGTTTTTGCTGGTGCAGAGGCCCCTCTTGATCCCTTTGACCATCTCCAACCCGCTGCAGACTGAAAATTTCATTCACTCTCTCTCCCATTTCAGCCAAGCTGGGCCGTTTCCTCGGCGCGTCAAGGCGGAGAGTCAGTGTGCACCTCCGAGGTTCTGCCAGCTGCCCAGGAGAGCTTCATCCAGCCCCAAGCACCCCAGGGGACTGGCAGGAAATGAAATGCATCTTCTTTTTGCTGTGCCTTTTTTTTAAAAGTCAGCTATAGCTGTCTTTAAGTTCACAGAAAAGCCTTAAGTGCACAATGATGTCTTTGCCCCTTCCTGTACCTTCTTGACCTGTTTTGGTACAAAGGCCCCTTCCTGAGACCTTTGACCAACAACCCCTTCTAGACTGAAAATTTCTAATTCACTCTCTCTCCCATTTCAGCCAAGCTTGGTCGCTTCCTCGGCGCGTCAAGGGGGAGAGTCAGTGTGCACCTCCGAGGTTCTGCCAGCTGTCCAGGAGAGCTTCATCCAGCCCCAAGCACCCCAGGGGACTGGTAGGAAATGAAA